TATATTTTTTTATTGTAATTTGAATAATAAAATATAAATTTTGTTATTAATTCTTTAAATATTATGGCCAAAAGTGTTTGATTAGATCTTGTGTTAAATCATAAATTTGATGTAAAACAATTGAAAATTTTAAAATTAATAAAATTACGTATCACATTAGGAAAAGTAATAAATTTGATAACAATACAACTTTTAACCATTTAACAATCAAAATATTTTGAAAAAACTACATGCATTTCCAAAAAATTTTATTTAACTCAACTTTGACTTTATTTTAGTACATTAAAATGAATGAATTATATAATAAAAAATAAATATTTTTTTAAATTTTTTTTCATTCATTTTAAGATTTAATTTTTTAATTTTTTATTTATAATTTCAAACTTTTAAACAGTAATATCGTATAATTGATAAGATAAAACAATTGATAACAAATAGTAACGTGACAAACTGCCAAATAGCTTTTTTGAAAATGTGCCAAATAGGCACTTTATAGCATGAGATAATTTTTTTTTATGCACTATAGCATGAGATAATTGATAGCAATGTATAAGGGAGATTAATAAATAGTGTTGTCAAAAAATATAATTTTATGAATCTCCTTTTTATTTTATCATAGAAATAAACTACCATATTATAGTGGGTGTTTGTTTTAGAGTTTTAAAATCAACTACTAATTATTACCTCTAATTAAATGAATTACATATTAATATAAATTATAAATAAAAATAAATATTAATAGTTAAATAACTATTATCAACTATTAATTATATCAAAAAATATATATATTTTTTTGAACATTTTATCATAGGGTCGGTTCGAACCGTTGTTCTGAGGAGGGAACATGAACGTTACAAAGGTGACTAGAGCCACTTGACCCAAAGGCCAAGTTCAATTATATCAAAATATTTAATCTGAGCACCCCATGGAAATTAATTGCCAGCTATGCAACCTACGGTATCATTAATATGGAAAAAAAATATTCATTACTCGAATCTATAAAAAATATATATATTAAAATTTTTTTAAATTAAGTTAATTTTAAAATTTTTATTTACAAAAACTAAAATAATTTTTTTTAAACAAAAATTATAATATTATTTTGATTTTTTCTTGTGTGTTTTTTTTACCTAATTTTTAACAGGCTGAGGTAATGAACACCAATGTCTTAATATTTATAGGGTTATCCATTGTTATTTATTTAACATTTTGTTGGCCGAGTGTTTAACTTGCAATTAATTCATCAATCAACAACAGTAATTACTTTACCAACAATTTATTGATTTAAGTATAAAAAATTTTATTTTTAAAAAAATAAAATTCTGAATTTAAATCCTGTAAATAAAAAATATGTGCTACAATAATTTTTTACTTATGAAATCTGATGTGATTTTTAATTAATTAGGTGTAATATCTCTTTTGAATATGAAAGATTAATATAAAAAAATAGTAACTTTTTTTTTCCACCGATGGCGAGTGCGAGTTACCATACTTGAACGGCGCGTGGATTAACCATTTGGAAAGTGGAAGCATTGAATTGAATTACGTGCAGCAGTCGGCCGGTCTTTGAAATTTGAAGGAATCCTTCGGCCTCGGGACTTGGGCTTCAAATCTTTTCTTTCAAGTTCTCACCACACGTGTTACAACTTTTGCGGATGTGGAAATTGGATAAGCAGCAGCCATGAGCCCAATGCCCAGCTCAGACCTAAACATCTGATCTAGCCCATCTTAGCCCAACCCAATTTGCCATTGAAGCCCATTTTTACTCTAATTCACAAGAAGTGTTATGCCTTAATTGCAGAAAAATAATTTCTAAAAATATAATGTTATATATAAATTACGATAACTTTTTATCAATAGTGCATATCATACTAAACTATTTAAATGTTTTGAAACATCAATGTTATTTATTAAAAAAAAAGTTTTAAAGGAAGAAATTATACTATAGCAATACTATAGCATCAAATTTACATATATAATATACATCTTCTCGATCCATATAATAACTTACAAATAAATAATATATAATTTTTTATCTATGATGAATGCTGGCTAGGAACACTTTATTTGATACTCTTCTTTCAACACTCTTCATGCAATTGAATCATGATTATATATTTAATGTGATTAATTATATTCTAAAATTTTTTAAAATATTAATGATAATATTAATCACTAATTATCAATTACATTAAATTTTTATGTAACTTGGCTCCATCACGTAGAAAATCAAGGTGATCAATACTTTTTTTAAGATTTTCCTTTGAACACCTTGATTCTCTTTATTTACGTATAGAGAGGAAACAAAGACAAAACTTTATATGTAGTACATTATGTTGCCAAAAAGATATATATGTAGGTAAGCAGACTCTAGAGGTCAGTAATTACTACTACGTTATTGGCCTGTAATGTGACTAAAGTCACATATTTATTACTTCACTAGACATTTTTTCAGTCAAACCCATATAGCTCCAGCCCGTCTCAGCATGGGGATCAAAGACCGGTTAAGGTGGTGACTCATGACTTCATTGGGTCCACCCACGAGCTCACCACCCACAAATACAGCCGGCACCGTCGGGCTGCAGCCGTACCTTGAGAGGGCTTGTTCGATCTCACGCCCTCTAGGCATCTCATCGAGCTCATAGATCGTGGGGTTCACCCCAAAGCCATAGAAGAGGGTCTTGATGGTGTGGCACATGTCGCACGTACTCTTGCTGAAAATCACCACTGGCTTCTCCGCAGCTAGCTTCGTCACCGTCTCCATTGCCGAAAAAAAAAGGGCTTTGAAAACCTTAAATCAGAAACCCTAGACTACAACGTGAAGATCGAGAACAAAAGAAAGCGAGAGCTTGTTAGAGATATATATCTCTTGTTGCTTTAGTTTTGGCGTGGTTTTTAATTGGAGATTGGGGGTTGTTTATATAGGGTTTGATACGGGGAAGGAGATGAGAGCAAAATATTGGATGGCTTGGTGATGAGGAGATAAAGAAATGAGAATGTTCCCTTAGATATTTGGGTCGGTTTCGATATTCCACTCTTTCCTCGTGATCATTTCCCTGAAAATGATGTGAGAGTTGCACTAGAGAAAGTTTAAAAAAGAGATTGTACCATCACGAATCTTTCTTTGTATTGTATATACAGTGCAAGCATGCATACGGAAACATATATAAAAAGAAAAAGTATCTTTTTCATGTACGGCTTTCTGTATATAAACTATACATTTGCGAGGACTAATATGTACGAACGACCCATTAATTTGTTACACATATTTTTTTATAATGATTTTCAAAGATAAAAAATATTTATTAGGGAAGTTCTTGTGGCTCAATAATTATTTATGTATTATTAAAGATATTTTTATCTTTGTAGAGATGTGAAGTTTAAATTTTATTTTTGTGTTTTAAAAAAATATATTGATAATGATGAGAGAATTCAAATCTAATTAATTTCTTTACAACTCAACATGTCACTTTATCATTAGATTAAATTTTTATTGATAAATTTATTATATAATAATATTAAATATAATGTATAACATCTAATTTTTTATTATGAAAGCATTTGTGTTTCTTGTCAGATGATTTAGTAATTAAAAATTTAAATTTTTATATTAAAGATTTTAAATATAAACTTAAAAAAAATTATTGTATAACTCATCATCTAGAAAATAAAAAATAAAAAATAAAAAAAATCATGGAGGCATCTGCTGACTTGGAGAAAGAAGGTTGGTCTTATCTATTTGGGACCTTTTGCTATTGTAATCAGATGCTGAGGGCATCCAATTCATGCATGGACTAATAAAAAGCAAAGAAAACAACAAACAATATTGTTTAAAAAAAACACAGCTAGCAGATCGATCGATAGTACGTAGATCTCTAGAAAAAACTATCACCATCGTTCATCAATTCGATTAAATCTCAGATATCATATTGAGACTGTTGATCTCAACGTAAACACCCATCTATCCAGAAGAAATTTCTAGACACACAGATTTTGTTCGATTTCAGGGAGAGACAGATGCCCACGTACATGAGGTCCCAGACATCATCCATTTCTTTGCTTTTTTTTTTGGAAACCATAAGTTAAGCCCCTGAACTAACCCTAGAATCGTTATTAAACCCCCAGACTTTAATTGATGCATATAAACCCTGAACTCTACAATAGAAGCAATTAAACCCTTACTATCACAGCAACTTAACTGCTGTTAACTGCCATTAATTGCCATTTGAGTATTGCGTCGTGTGGCCAAATATAGTCATCTCTTGCCGACATGACGACGGATTTGACATTAGGTTTGTCCAATTAGATGAAAATAATAATAATAATAATAATTTAGAAATAAATTTTTATATTATTTTTTTGTATAATTTTACATGTCATTTAAATAATTAACTCTTTTTATTCATAAGTTTACTTAACTTATACTCTAAGAACACAAATTAAAAATATAATAAATATATTTTTTGTAATAAATTTATGTTAAAAAATAAAAGTTAACTTTTAATTTTTTAACTATTCAATTAAATTCATTCATCTAATACTGACACTAAAATTAATATTAATATTTATATTTTTTATATACATTTATGATAAAAAAACCTTAAACTGTGCTCTATTATAAAAATATTTATTTATTTGAAACCTAAAATATTAAGTATATTCACTCATTTAATAACATGTAAAAATTATATAAAAATGTTGTACAAAAAAATTATCCTTATATCACAAAAAAAAAACAAATAGAAAAAAAAAGGAAAAAAGTGGTCCCTATATCACTTGAGCTTCGTTTTTTTTTTTTTTAATTTTCTTTCTAATTTTTTTTTGGTGATATAGAGACAATTTTTTATGTAATTTTTTATACAATTTTCACATATTATTAAATAAATAAATAAATTTAATATTACAATTTCAAATGAATAAAGGGTTTTTTCTAATTTGTGCCTTCAGAGTTCAGGGGCTAATAAGGGTTAAATTGCTTCTATTGTAGAGTTCAGGGGCTTATATGCACCAATTAAACTCTGGGAGTTTAATAGCAATTCTGGGTTTAGTTTAGGGGCTTAACTTATGATTTTGCCTTTCTTTTTCTCCTTTAGCTAATGCTGTGGTGCATTTAAAAAATCAAAAGAAAAATGTGAAAGACAAAGAACCCGATTGGAGAAATCTGTACTGTACAGAAAAAACCCTTATATATGGAAAGC